CAGTTGGTCTCTTCTCTTTAGCTAGTTAGGTTTACAGGAAAATGCTTTCTCTTCCCTTACTTGCAGGTAGAGGTTGGCTGCCTGCTGTTCTGGGAATGGGAGGGAGGGGCAGGAAGAAGATGGTAGAACCTCAACATTTCAGTGTGTTTTATTTTTATCTTTCTGTTTTCAGTAAGATATCCCTGCCTTCAACTCAGTCCAAACCTACTGTTTTACCTTTTGCAGAGAATAAGTAAACCCTTAGCCTCCTGTTAAATTGCTGCTTAGCACCCCATGCTCATTCCCACTTCCAGAAGTGCCTGTGTTAGAAACTGATGAGCCTTTTGCAAGTTGCTCCATTTTAATCAGACAATGTTTCGGTGTTGCCCACTTTCAGCTAAGAATGAAATTTTCTCAGGTCTGTCAAGTTACCAGTTTACTTGCATCTCAGCTTCTAAAATTTTATTGTTTTGCTTCCTCTCTTACTCTTTTTCTTAAGGGCGAGGCCTTTAGAAAGGATTTTTAAATTGGTATTTTAGTGGGATTCTGAGAGGATGTGAATGTATAATGAGTGTATTCAGTCTGTCAACTTTGCCCAGAAGTCCTTTACATTTTTTCTTAATGCCTATTTCAGGTTTCAGGTGGTGGTTTGGTCACTCCTTGCAGTAGTGGCTGGAACTGTAGTCATTCCTGGGGTGGAGACAACTTAGGGTTCATCCCAGTATGTTCTGTATTGTCATTAGGGGGCTTTGCTACCTCCACGGGCTCTAGCCAGCTGTGGTGGAGGCTTAGCGACAGGGCTGCAGGTGGAGCTACGGGTCAGTTCAGGCTCCGTGACCCCCACTTTTGCTCAGCCTTTCCCTGCTTCCACTTTCTCCCTCCATGCCACTTCCTTTCACCCGCCCTTTGTCTCTCAGATCCCAGCCACTGGAGGGCTGACTAACCTCAGGTTCTTCTTTTGCCTCATTACATCTCATCTCGTAACACTTCACCCGGGCTCCCTGGGCTTTCACCTCTCTGGCCATCCGGGAAACTGCATAGTCGATGCTCGTTTTCAGACTTGGGCTGATCCATATTCGTAATGCCGCCGCTGGATCTTTTTCTTAACCACTGGTGCAGGAGTCTCTCCTGCCCTTGCTCTACTTTTCTTGGAATTATCTGGCTGATTCCCAGTCTTCATATTTATTTATTTATTTATTTACTCTTCTCTATAAAGTAAGCATGGATGGATATATACCTAAAGGTAGAAATACCTATTGGTGTCTGCCATGCTAATTTTTTAATGGAAGTTTTTCTTCTGATTTTTTAATTTCACACAGTAGAGCCTTCCCTGGTGGAATCCAGTCTTTCAGTTGGCTTTAGAGAGCACATAGAGCATGCTGTGTTCAAGAACATTTACTGAAGTCTGTTTTCGTTGACTAATCTGTACCTAAACCCTCCTGTTCCCTTGAACCATTTGACTGTCTTCCTCAGCTTTCAGTGTCAAACCCCTGCAAAGGCCAAAGTCCTAATTCAGGCCTCTACTGTGTCATACCAGGACTAATGCCTCGTGGTTTTTTTCTTCTTACCCCCTCCATCCAAACTATGTCTATTCATTTTACAGAACAGATATTTACTGAGAATGTACTATATGCCAACTCCTACTGTATCTTAAGACAGACCCAAGTCCTGCCGCTGTATCACTTAATCTTCCTAAAACGTTGTTTTACAACTGTCACTGCACATGCAAAACCTTTAACATCTCTTCATTAAAGTCACAGCTGCTTCTCCTGAACTCGTGGCCTTTCCTCTTCTCTCAACTTCATCTCCCAATAAATACCCTGCTAGTTCCTGTGCTGACCTGGGACCCAGTCCCTCTAAGATGCCTTTGCATTGCCATTATGTGTTGGTTTCAGAGCTTTTCTGGAAGCTGCTTTGCTTTCACTCTAAGTATGGTTTATCAATGTGGCTCTTATTGGCTCTGCGTGCACTCTGACCCCCACTACCATTCACATTGGGCTGTAGGCAGGCACAGCCTCATGAAAACTTTTGTTGGAGAAAAAGTTTTAAATGCATGTTATCATTCACTTTACTGCACTGTGTGAAAATGTTGCAATGTTGAAGTAATTAGTAATTGTGATTCTTTTCCCTTTAAAAAGAGCTTCCTTTCTGGATAAGCCATTTGGAAGACCTTTTTTTTTTTTTTTTTTGCTGGGAGAATAATTTTTGATTATTGTTAAAATATTTATGGAAAATGTCTTTCTTTTCCTAAAGTTGTACCCAACCTTTGGAATGTCGATGGAGAAGTTACAGTCGCTGAGCAGAAGCCCGGAGAAGTTGCTGAGGAACTAGCAAGCTCCTATGAAAGAAAGCTCATCGAGGTAAGACCTGTCAAGTCCAGGCCTTTATTGCTGGTGTTGGCCGCTTTGGGGGTTTTCCAGAAATAGGCCCAGCCTGTTAAACAGATGTTAGCAAGACAACCAAAGCATTGTACTTGATAAAGAAAGGTAAGAGCTGGTTCTTTGAAACATATTATTTCATTGAAATTTTGGGTACCGTTAGCCAGGAAATAGGAGAGAAAACATAAATATATAATGTTAAAAATAAGAAAACATATCTACCCTTGGATTTGGAGAAGACTAAAATCAGGAGAAAACATCACCTCATAGATGTGAAAATACGGATGAGATGGACTATTTTCTAGGATAACATTTATTATAAAATGGAAAATGAGGCAAACTGTCTGAAGGGTACCAAAAAACTGGTGGAAGAAAGTTTTAAAAGTAATTAAAAAATTGTTTCCCTGGAAGGGAGCAAGCCTGATTGTTTTATGGTGGTTTCTAGGAAAGCCTTCAAGTCTACACAAAAGCCCTTTGCTGTTTATATTTCCTTAAAGCATTATCTATATCTATACCTATATTTATATAGCTATATCCATACATATATATCTCTCTATCTTGGTTCAAGTGTGCTTTACTTTGATATAAGCAACCTGCCAAAGATAGTATAAGAAACAGTACTATAGACTTGCCTCATTTGTGCACAGATGCATCAAAATTCTAGAAAGACATTACACAATCAAACTCAGTCACACATTAAAGGAACAATCCATATAAAAGTAGGACTTATACAGGGTTTCAAGAATTGCTTAATGTTAGGAAATTCATCAAGTAAGCTCATGGATAGACCAAAGGAGAAAAACCAGATATTGATCTTGATAGGTACTGAAAAGTCATTTGATAATGTTGATCATTGATATCTGATAAAAATATTCTTTATAAATGAAGAATAAAGGTACTTCTTTGATATGATAGCGTTTTGTTTTGTTTTTAATCAGAAACCATTAATTATAACCATACTCAATGGGAAAGCTGGGAGGCAAGTTTCGGACTAAGTACCTAGTATATAAAATATATGTAGGTGTGTGTATATGTCGTGGTAGTCACATGGTATTTATTATGAGTCATGTATGTTTGCATATACACACAGCATGTAAGTGTATAACCATACTTTCCAGTTACTGTCAGGTCCACTTGCATTGTTGTTCTTGGTAGCTGCCAGAGAGTTAAGTGTTGAACTCCACATCTGAGGGAGCAGTGGTTGGCTGTAGAGATTTCTCTCCAGCCTTAATTTCCTTTCTTGTGCTTCTGTGAGTCCCTAACTGGGGAGGAGTAGAGTTGGTGGCTGTTGTCAAGGAGCTGAGCTGTGAGGCCAAAGCAGCGATGTTCCTCCAGTGGAATTTACTACCCCAGACTGATTTTTCTTTCTTGGTTTTGGTTGTAAAGTGAGGTTCTGTCAGTGATCTTTCATCTGTGAATATTATTAGCATTTCATTGCAGCAAGACTTTTGCTGAGACCTCTCTGTTAGCATTGACAGAGCTCTTTACAATGTTTTGTTTGATGCTTGTCTTGCCATTTTATTAATGGGTTGGCTTTTAGCAAGAAAGAGTTGCAAACACGTGTTGGTGTGGAGTAATGAAAGGATGTGGGGGAAAGTTGATGTACTTTTCTTTCCATTTCAGAAGGGCAAAAAAGAAGGGCATTTTAATGTAAATAACATGTTGAAGTACCTCAACAGTTGAATTACTCTTTTGTGACTTATCCCAAAAAAAAGGGAGTTCCTGAACATTCTTTTTCTTGGGGTCTCAAAGCATTAAAACCACCTCACCCATCTGCACACAAACACTTCACATTCAAGCTCAGTGACTGGAATCCAGCATCCAGACAGCTCAGAACCCAAAGTCAACACTGTAAACTATCTTTTATTTGTTGGGGAGCATCAGGGGCCAAGCACTGCTTGGTAGAAAGATTACTCTTGACACCCTACAATGGTTAACTTTTGGAAACAAGAAGGGAAGGAGAATGCTGGCAGGTATAGGTTAATCTGACAGGGGAGAGACATTAGTATGAACACACTAATTGTATACCAGCCACTGTAGCACTAGTGGCCAGCTGTGGGGTACGCACTTTTATTCCCAGGCCCTGTGCTAGGGCTTTTACATGGATGGACTCATGTAATCCTCAGCAGTGTCCTGTGAGGAAGATACTGCTCACAGATGGGGTTTTGAGAAATTAAGTAACTTACCCAAGATTGTCCAGCTGGTAAGAGGCAGAACTGGATTCAAATCACCCAGGCCATCTAGCATCAGAGCCCAAACTCATAATCCTGCTCCGCTCTGGAAGGGTGAGCTCATTGAGGAAACAAAAAGTGGACTTGATAGAAGAGAAGACTAGTCACGTTTAAGAGGATGAATGGAAGGAACAGAGGAGGAAGCCAGCCATAGGTAATGGAAGTGCACCATCGCAGTTCGAAACTGTGCTGGGAGGGGTCCCTCTCACACTCTTAGTTACTGCAGAAGGAGGGAGTGCATGTGTCTTCTGTGGTTGGAATTACCTGCTTCTGAAGCAAATTGTAGCAGAACACCAGGCTGGGAGCTCCTTGAGGGGACAAGAACATTATCTTTTTAATTGTATATTCATTGCCTTACAGCTCCAGCATATGGTGGGAGCTCCATAAATACTGATTGGAGTGACAGTCTATTGAGTGGGTTCAGCTGTTCAGAGTAATGTTTAAAGAGTGATAGATGTGACTCTGGAACCCCAGATTGAAAGTGAGTTGCACCAAGGCCCCACCATAGCTAAGAGCATACTGTTGGGAGGGATTAGATGTCTAGTAAGAGGAAACATAGGTTCTTTACAGGAGGCAGACTTTTTTCTGGCACTCAGTTTTAGAGGAAAGTTTAGTTTGTAGAGCCTGGAGAGGGTATTGAGTAACAGACAGATGGAAGCTACCAACTCATTTAGCACCTATTTATTTAGTGCCTTCCAAGTGCCTAGCCTTTAGCTCTTTCTGCACCTGCAGTGGCTTCCCTACCTTGGGAGGAGTAGAGTTTATGCTTTTGGGAGGTGAGCCACAAAAAATGTAAGGTCATAGCAGACATGTTCCTGAAACGGCATTTACGTTCCTCGATCGAGTTCTTCCTTTGACTGCAAAGGTGTTGATGTTTCACCCATGAACAGCATTAGCTCTTTGTCGCCCCAAGGCTGGGCCTAGGTTACAGAGGTGAACAAGATGCCATGCCTGTCTCCAGCGAGTGCCCAGCTCTCGGAGGGTTCAGTGGACATGTCGTTATGATGGTCAGGAAGCAGGGTGAAGCGCAAAGTGATGCACGCTTTGTGGGGTCCCAGAGCCGTGCCTGTAACAACAGTTCTGCAGAACTTGTGCACCCAGCTGGAGCTTCTAGAATGTTCCTCCCTTTTTCTTTGGGATTGTTAGTAATGACAGTTAGAATTTCTTTTGTAAACTTCCCATCCCTCTGAAGAAGCGCTGGACATCAGAGGAAATGGATTTGTTCTTACAGCTCGTTTTGAAGGTAAAAGTTATTAGACACTCCAGCATAGATCTGTTCTAAGATTTTCTTTACCTCTTTTAAGTACAGTTCCTTTGGTTTAGACTCACCTCCAGAGATTTTTCTGTTCTTTTCTAGCAGTCGCTGTCAAGAAAAATGCAAAATGTTGGTGACATTCAGACTGCCATCCTGCATCTCTTTGCTACCGCCTTCTGTAGCCTGGTGGCTTAGAGGGCACACGATAACCCGCATCAGAAAGACTGAGTTCAGGTTTGCCACTTACGGCCATGTGTTCCTGGGCAGGCCGCATGACTTGTCCAGGCCTTAGTTTTTCTGTCAGTAAAATGTAGCACATAGTACAAACTCATAGGGTAGCTCTGAGAATTAAATAGGGAGAATCTGGCTCTGTGCTTGTGGTAGATGGGAGGTGTCTCCTCGCTTTCCTGCTTCCCTTCTGGCTTCCTCTGGAGTAATGACCTCCCCACCTTTGCTTGCTGTCTTGGTGAAGGGGTAAATCTAAGTCCTCTGCCCTCCTTTGGCCCAGAGCCAGGGCAACTGGGGCTGTAACTCTAGACTTACACAAGAGGAGCAAAAATGCTTGGGAGTATCCTGGTACCCAGCCAGTGGTTCTTGTGTTGAACTTGCCAGAGTAGTTCTGGTTACAGCCCCTTCTCTGAGCCAGCATCTCCTGCCTTCCTGACTGGTTACAGCAACTCCTTTTTAGCTTAGGATAGAATCTGTTTCTGTTACTTAACTCCAAATTTCCCTAGCCCATATGTGGCTTCATGTATGTGTATGATCAGTAGACGTCACTTTCCTTCATCTGCTTACCAGGGCTCCTTTGTCCTGCCTTCTTCATTCTGTCCCATGTCTTGCTTTTCCCCTTCTTTTTGCTCTGTACTTTCGTATAGCCAGTCTACCCTCTGTAAACAGATCGTGACTTCCTCCCAGGTGGCAGGACTCAGCTAGCTGCTGATTGATTTTTCAGATTTGAAGATACTTATCATTTACCCTGCAAGTGTATTTAGTCCCTGCATTTTTGCTCATGGGTGACATAAATGGTGTATTAGCAACATCTATTCTCATTATGATGACAGAGTTACTCTTAATGAAAAAGTAAGCTTAAGCATCAAGCTTGTGAAAAATACATTCATAATCACACACTGTAAATAACAATGTGATCATCATTTTAATGAAATGTAAAAGTTCCAGAAACAGCCAGGACCTTGGGAGCAGTTACGCCACCAGTACTTGCTTCATAATTGGCACCAGTGGGTTCTAGCACTCTCGACACATCTGAGAGTCTGTTTTATACAAAAGAAGGATGGGCTTTAAATAACATACTGGATCCAGGATGAAGAACCCTGAGCCGAGATCAAATTGAACTGATGTTCAAAAATACGATGTTTGTTTTCATTTATTTTTTAATCCAACTGGGGAGGAGCTCTCTTTTAGAGGGGCTAGCTGTAATTCTCCCCCAGGCATGAATGACCAACAAGGCCACACCTCCAAGGAATTCTTAAATCTTTTTA